TATAATATATAAGTTTAATTAAAATGTATTATTATTAAAAATATCTACAGAGAGGAGAATCTGACATAACCAGAATACCTAAGATGAAATCATAACCATGGCGAGTCTAATTAAGTATGAGGAAGAACTTCTTAATGACACCTTTTGCAGGTCTAAATTTTTAGCTGTCTTTCTTTCCCCCCAAAGGGTTACACTTTGAGTGTTATACCACTTGTTTATTTTGCATTCTGGATTAGGACTGGCAGCGGTCACAGACGTGTTTGTTTAATACGCTTTCAGGCTTTTTATGGGAAGAGCAGGTATTCCCTACATCGGAGGGGGTGGCAGTGCCTGGTTGGGGTGCCTGCCTCAGGGTGGGGTTTGTTGCTTTTGGCCAATGGAGCTGAGGCCAAATAAGAGTTAGGCTCACGTGAGGACCGCGGTCCTTGTATAAAATACAGAAGATGCGAGGTGCCTCTGAGCCCCTTAGGAGACCCAGTGGTTCTGGGTGTGGAGAAGACAGAAGATCAAAGGAAGGGAGAGTGACAGCAAATGAGAAAGGGATTTCATTAGCAGAAGCCAAGAGTCAGGGAAGGAAAAAACCAGCTCAGCCAGGACCTGGAGAAACAGCCAACTGGAACTCAAAAGAAAAAGAAAAAAAGAACTGCCGGCTTTGTTGGCAAGCCAGATAAAGGGAAGCTAGGTGAAAGCCTTGGGGGCTACTGAGTTAATCTCCGATGTTTAGCCGTGCATGTACTTCGACCCTCTAATGGTGACCTGGGCGCCCCACCCATCCCAGTTGTCCTGACTATGGGAACGTGCCTTGAAAAAATCCATGAACTTCTGGAACAAATGGCACCAAGAGAGGGCTCCGTGGGCCCCACTGTAGGAACCTGTCCCACGGGGAACAGCCAGACCAGGCTGCAGCTTGGCACACGGCTCACGACCTTCCGGTCAGAAGAGCAACAGACGTGTTCAGCAATGACTGGAAAAAAGAAATACAAACTCGGGTTGTCCATTTCCATGAACACGTCTCATTCTAGCCCTGAGCGAAGGGCCTGGAGCCGCAGCATGACCACATCCCCCTGCCTTTTCCACAGAGGCAGAGCCGGACTGGCCCTCCCATGCCTAGGAACAAGCAGCAGGAAGCTCTCTTAACTCTTAGCAACCGGGCCTGAGGCTCTGAGGAAACACTGGTTTGTATCACCAAAAGCGCCAAGCACCTGCTTAACATAATAATGTTCTGATAATATGATCTTGCAGGCACGAGGCTCAGTACACTGTCTGCTGTGGCCAGGAGCAGAATTCTATGTGAACGGTGGTAGATCACCACAGGGACAGGACAAATGCTCCCCAAATCTGCCTCACACCTGCTGGGTATATGTTGTGGCCTCTCCTGTAGTCCCTCCCAAGGTCCCCAAAACCAGAACCCCCGACCACCATGTCCTTATTCTACCCTATCAACCATATGAAAGTCACTAAAAATACGTTTATTTTATTTTTTCTATTGTAAAAATTATAAAAGAAAATAGTATGATGAGAAAACAAAATTTGCGGCCCCTCCTCATTCCCTTGGGGGGCAGTGTTCGTTCAGTGGTAGAATTCTCGCCTTCCGTGCAGGAGACCAGGTTCGATTCCCGGCCAATGTACCTCATACACAGCCACCACCCATCTGTCAGTGGAGGCTTGCGTGTTGCTCTGATGCTGAGCAGGTTTCAGGGGAGCTTCCAGACTAAGACAGACTAGGAAGAAAGGCCTGGAGATTGACTTCTGAAAGTCAGCCGATGAAAACCTTATGAATCACAACCGATCCTAGGGATGGTGCAGGACCAGGCATCATTTCCTTCCATTGTGCGTGGGGTCCGCCATGAGTCAGAGGCCAACTCAAACAGCAGGTACCAACAACAACCCCACCCCCCCAAACAATCACTGAAGGTGAAAAGATTCTAATGAAAGCTGTGGGCTCCCTCTCCAGAAAATGCAATATAAACATACAGAGAAACGCTAGCACATCCTGAAGTCACGCGTGGATCCCCTAAGGTTCTGAGATACAGGCATCACTTCCTTTATGCCTTTCTATGCATCGTGGTCCCACACTTCCTCAAGGATGAAGTCTGGGTCTTCTAATTCCTTAAGTCTCCCCTATACCCACAGAACTAGCATCGAGTCCCATGTTCAGCAGGAACCACCCAAACGCTGTCCACTGGCCCCACCTTTCTGCCTGTAGTCTTTTTGCAAATCCACACTTTACAGATGAGATTCAGCGACATCTTAACCCTCGTATCTTCAAGTCAAAAGAGACTTCTAGGAACATATCATAAAGAAACAATCTAAACTGTAAGCGAAGCTGCTTGCCCAGAGATGCTTCTCACTGCATTATTTATTAAAGCAAAAAGCCGACAACAATACAAATATCGAACAGTAGAAGAATGGGTGACCAACATTAGCACCGTCATAGAATGGAATATTGTGCAGCCATTGAAAATGAGGCTTATAGAGGCTTTTAAACGGCACGCGAGATGATTATGACGCAATGTTATGTGAAAAGGGCTCTATGCAAAGACATACTATGATCGCGACTCTTAAAAAAAAAACAAGAAAAAACCTAGAAGGGAAGGAATACCTCAAAATGTTTACAGTGGCTAATTCTAATTAGGAGTCCTTGGGTGACACAAACAGTTAAGCATTTGTCTACTAACCAAAAGGTTGGCAGTTCAACCCACCCAGAGGCGCCTTGGAAGAAAGGCCTGGCGATCTACTTCCAAAAAATCAGCCATTGAAAACCCTATGGAGCACAGTTCTACTCCAACACATACAGGGTCACCATGAGTCAGAATCAACTCAATGGCAACTAATAACAACAAGAACAATTCTGATTAGTAGGATTATGATGGATTTTTTGTTTTCTTAAGTACACTTTTCCATGTTTTCTAAGTGTCTACTTTTATGACCAGAGGAAACATTAGTTTTTGTTTTTTTCTTTTTTCCTACGGTTACAATGATGGCAGAAAACTAAAACCAAACCAAACCCACTTCCGTGGAGTTGATTCGGGGGACCCCCAAAGCCTCAAATTTTCTTTCCCAGCTTTTCCCTGCCGAGGTTTGTCCTACCAACATGCCAAAAACCTGTAACTTATTGCCACTGAGTCAATTCTGACTCACAGCAACCCCATAGGAGAGAGTAGAACTGCCCCATAGAGTTTCCAAGGAGCAGCTGGTGGATTCGAACTGCTGACCTTTTTGTTAGCAGCTGAATGCTTAACCACGGCGCCATCAGGGTGGACCTGAAATTCCAACGTTCTTAGCATTTTAACAAGAATTGAGGGTTTAAACTAAAGGAATAAAATTCAACATGTAGAATTCCATTTATCACACACCTCCTGTGTGTGTATGTGTGTGTGTGTGTGTGTTTGTGTGTGTGTGTGTGTGTGTGTGTGTGTGGTACATCAGCACCATACAGAGCCCTTCCCTCACCCCTGAAATCCCATACAAGGTAAAGGGGACCTGCGTTGTCTGGGCATAAGGTTGACAGACCCCACAATTCTAGGAAAGCTATGGATATACGCTGGGATTTCTTGGGAAGGAAACAGATGGACCCTTGCCTTCCAAATTGCCCTGTCTGTCAGCCTGGGCTCTGAGGCCTGGCCTTCCAGGGAACACCACAGGTCTGTGATGTCTTCATGACTTCCATCTGTCTTAGCAGAAGGCCTTTCTCGTCATCCCCAGAGAAGTCACAGAAAAGGTCTCTTTAGAGAAAAGCCCCCCATCTCTGCATTTTGTGCTGGAAAGGAAATAACAAACAGGGGCAAAGTCCTGCACTTCTTTCTCCTCACTAAGCACACGGCTTTGTGGTCCTCTGACGTGAAGGAGGAGACAGGAGCCCCTGTCACGGACTGAACTGCGTCCCCCATAAAGGATATGCAAATGTCCTAAC